AGAGTGATGTTCTGTGTCTGTTCTTCTGACTTTCAACTCCTTTTAATGACCATGTCTTTTTACCTCTCTTGGTACTTACAGAACACATTTCTAAAGATCAAGAACTCTTAAGATCCTCCAGTGGCTGTAGTTCTCAGACTTGGATGTACATGGAACCTGCCTTGTTAAAACAGAGATGCCTGAATTCATGTGATTCTGATACTTCAGATTTGTGCCTGCTTTCCACTGTTCTTGAATTTTTCTTGGCAAAACATTCAGGAGTTTGCAAGTATAATTTGATTATCCAGAAGATGATTCTTCTGGTGTGGACAACAATGGACAGAGACAAATATATTTTCCTTTAGAATGAACAATCAAGAGACACTTCAGTAGCAAAACTTTACAAGTTCCTTGAGTGACCTGATGGATCTCGGAGGTGAAGAATCGCTATCTAATTAGAGAGTGAAATGGAAACTAAAAGATTCTCCAGATTTCAGGGCAACTTAGAGCTGGAAGGTGAAATCAGATCATTGTCTACGGAGCATCATGAGGTGCAGATTGAATCAGTAGGTTCTGGTGGGACCTGTGATACATCTTTTTAGTATCCTCAGTCACAAAGGCATAGCTTGTCCCTGGAACACATTTGAGTATAGTAAGGAGCAGAATTCTGGCTTCACACACTCTCAGATATGTGATACTGGACTTCTCATTTAACTTCTCTGGCTTGTTAGTTCTTTAAAATGGGAGGCGTTGTAGAAGGGAAGAATGTTGAAAAATCAGATGTCTTAGTATGTAAGCATTTCAAGGCAAGTGATATTCTAGTGCTGTGTACACTCAAACTAGTATTTCTGACTACTGAGAATTCACCAATGTTTCTCCAGGATTTAGGCTTCCAGTTTCATACAAAGCTGTCTGAGTGATTGCTTCTGGCCTGATGACAGCATGGCTTAGTGCATTGCTTCACCAAATAACAGCTCAGTTCCCTCTGGGTTTTCCCTTCATCGTCTTGAGGCATGGAGAATTAAGCATGTCTTATTCAGAATGTGGGTGCCCCCTGGTCAACACCCCAACCAATGGGTCTGAAAATGTAAGGGTCAGAATGGGTCCCAGTCATTTCTTCTCCATGGTGATTGCTGTTTCCAGGTCATGTTTGTGAAATATATATAATTTTAAGACACCACTGGGGGGGCTTTCTTTCTGTGGTTGATTTATAGAGTCACGTTACAATTTAGCACTCTGTGCTCTGACTCCCCTGGGGTTCCTGAGGATTGCTTCTTGGGTAGGAAGAATTATAAGTTTGGTCAGAGCTGCTGACTATGCCATTCCAGGCTAGTAGATGCAACTCTTTGGTCCTTGTGCCAAGGCTTTGGTTGGGTTTGGGGTAGTTGGGGAGGAACCCTGAAAAGAAATATTTCTTGCTGTGGGTTGGCTGCTTTAAAGGTTATTAATGTTCTGGAACAATGTGCCACAGTTTGAGAATGAGGTCTGTTACCAGGAGATCCAACAACCAGTCCTCCAGCATCGTTCTGTGAGTGAGGGATGAGGATGGTAAACTGTGTCCTGGCATTTTACAGTGATCCACGGGAGAGAGTTACAAAACAGACTGATGTTCAAATAACTCTGCTGTCAGAATGCCATGTGCAAAGGCTTACCTCTGGGACCTCAGTCTACCTCCTTAACTCAAATGTCCTCTTGGAGTGCTGCATGTGTCCTAGCTTTAGATCTGGGAGCCCAAGACCATGGCCATGATCCAACTTCTCTGGCCACCAGAAGGAACTCATGAGGGTATGACTACACTTAATTTCACTGTTCTTTAAAAAAGGTGCTTCTCATAAGTAATTATGCTTAATTTATGGTTCCATAGCAGGAAGTAGATGTCTGAGTTTTGATGCATTCCTTTTTTGTACCCACCCTCCTAATTTGACAAAATTTTTCAGCTAGGAAAAACAAAGACATGACAAAAATGACCATGATAGGTGCTGGAGAGATGGCCCAGTGGTTAAGAGCACTGACTGCTCTTCCAAAGAACCCCTAGTCCCACCATCCACATGGCAGCTCACAACTGCCTGTAATTCTAGTTCCCAGGGGTCTGATTCCCTCTTTTGGTGTCCTTTGCCACCAGGCACACATGTGGTACACAGACATATATGTAGCCAAAACACTCATACAGAGAAACAAAAAATAAAAGTTTTTTTTTAAAATGTCTATGATATTAAATAGAGTCTTCTTTGAGGCTAGGGCCTCATCTTTACAGCAAAGAAGCCTGTAGGTGCTCCCTCTCATGCCAGAAAAGGAATTCTGTGTCTCTGGCTTCACACTAAGTCACAGAAGACCTCTGACATTTCTGTTAGGTGGGGCTTGATCCACCTTGAACCATGATTCCAAAACCAGATTCTCTAGATCAGGTTTGTTGTGGCTTGGGGGAATGGTTGTCCTTGTAGGGCTTCCTGACATTGGCAGAATGGTGGGCTTGAGGCAAGGGAGTGCTGCTCGAGATGGGGTGAGGGAGGATGCACTGATTATTTTAGAAAATCGTACACTCATAGGTGCAAAGAGAAGACTGGAGCCGAAAAGAGACTACATTACCCTGGAAGGAAGAGAACCTACTAAGGAGCCCAGAATCGAGAAGATTGCTCCATCATAGAAGAAAGACAAACCTGAGGAACAAAGAGAGATGGCTTGCATGTGTACGGGCAAGTCTGACCATTTGGGAGGGCAAGGTATAGGTAAAAGTAGAGGTGGGTATGTAGTTCAGCTGATAGAATGCAGGAGGCCCTGGTTTTGATCCCTAATACACATACAGAATGTGGTGATGCATGTCTGGAATCCTAGCTCCCAGAAGGCAGAGGCAGGAAGATCAGAAACCTTAGACCATCCTTGGTTACACAATGAGACTCTGTCTCGACAAAACAAAACAGAACAGAACAGAACAGAACAGAACAGAACAGAACAGAACAGAACAGAAAAATAACTAGTGTTTCTCAGAAGGGCCCTAGAGCCATTTAGTTATATAAGGTACCTGTTCTGGGTACTTAACTAAAGCATTTCATGGTAGTTAAAATGCACCCTGCTGAGCCAGACACCACAGTCTTTCCCCTTTGTTCAGAGACTATTATTATTTTAAAGATAACCCTCTCTGGAAGACCACAGCTTTGCCAGGAAAAACCATGTCCTGGCATGGTTAAAGTATATTACAATTTGTGGCTGCATACCCAGGATTTGACACAGCATGGTGTTCAATTTCAACCCAATTTAATTATATGCCCTCTCATATATTGTCAGTGGTTCACACTGGTAGGGTTTTTTTTTTTTTTTCTTTTGCCTCATGAAAAACTGGCCATGATTTGTCACGAGGGGCTGGTTTGGAGAACAGCTAGTGGAGAGTCACTGCCCATCATTCTGGAATTATGGAGCCATAAGCACCCTTTATTTACATATACTGCTGAGACAGTAAAAACAGCAAATAGATTTCTTAAATTGAGACAGTAGGAACTTCCCCCCAGGGCACTGGGCCTTCATTGTGACATTGACATATGTGAGTCTGAACATCTTTGCTGTCTGTGTTCCTGCACCACATCACTCCACGGACAGTTTATAACATTCTCATAATAAAATGGACTCTAAATTCAGAGTCTAGCTGCACTCAAAGTGGATGCTAATGCTCAGCAGAATCTCAAGTGATTGTGAAGAAGGTTTAAGTCCACCAATCAGATGGCTGCTGAGTAGCTCTGCAAAGGGGCTGAAGATAGCTAATGGGCTGCTGAGAGGCGGTGGTGGCAAGACCCAGTCAGAAGGAAGCCTGTCTAGTGGTTCTCTGCACAGACTCTGCATCTAGGAGGAGGAAAAGAGTCTTCAACCTCAGGCTCCTGGGCCTTAGACAACTATAGACATACTTTGTGGCTCTGTTCTCCCCCTTTCTTCTTCATCTCCCATTGCTTTCCTGCTTCCATCTCCGTCCATGGAGGATGTACTTGGGGAAGAAATGACTAGAGAAGAACACTGTGCTGTCCTTCACTGGATTCCCTCCTGAGAGTTTCTGTATAGTTTCACCTACTTGTAGTGTGTCTCTGTGTGTGTGTGTGTGTGTGTGTGTGTGTGTGTGTGTGTGTGTGTAATTAGTATCATGAGTAATTAGGAGGATATAAGGGCTAGTGGACAACCTTGGGAGTTATTTCTCAGGCACTTTCCATCTTTTCTGTTTTGGAGATAGGATCTTCTCCAGTCTAGAACTCTCCATGTAGGTTAGGCTGGCTAGCCATTGAGCCCCAAGAGTCACCTATCTCCGCCTTCCTGGTGCTGGTGCTACAGGTGCACATCATCATGTCTAGCTTTAATATATAGCTCCTAGAGATAAACATTAGATTTTCATTCCTGAAATGTAAGCTTAGGTTATCCCAAGTTCTCTCTCCTTGTTTTTCAAAAGCTTCCTCCAAAGACCCTTCCTCTTAATTCTCTTCCCAGGGAGGCAGGTCCATTCCTCCAACCCATACAGCTACTGGTAAAGTTATATCTGAAGAACCATCCTCTCCGAGAGGGTCCAGGAGGAGGGAGGAGTTGGCTGTGAGGGTAGGCCTACTCCAGGTGCATGCCCTCTCCTCCCCTAGGTGCCTGCACAGATGTGCACTCACCGCCAGAGGTCAGGCAACTGCAGCCGCCCCCATGGGAGTCAGGGTTAGCAGACTGGTTGGTAGCTCCAGTCAGTGAAATCAGGCAGCCTTCTGCAGTGACAGAAGGTGGCTCCCGAAGTCACACCTTATAGGGAACTGAAATCTGGAAGGCTGTCTGGTGGGCAGGGAAGAGGTGGTTGCACCTACAGTCTGGCATCCAGTTACGGTTAAGCCAGATACCCTGCAACTGTCAAGCTTCTGCAGAACAGAGGATTCAGAATGTCTGAACACGCAAGTGTGAGCAGTCTCTCCCGGAGGGTCCTGGAGAAGGTGGGAGGAGCTGTCTGTGAGGGTGGGCCTACCTCAGGTGCGCTCCCTCCCCTTGCCTAGATGCCTGCACAGATGAGTACTCACCGCCAGAGGGCAGGCCGCTGCAGCTGCCCCCGTGCAGACAGGGGCTGCGTTGGCACGCGTCGGGGTAGAGTACACAGCCCAGCTTCAGCTCGGTCAGACCCACGACCTCCGCGAAGCTGCTGCGCTTGTTTTGGAGAGGTAGCTCGTTGTGATTGAGCACCACGGAGTCCAGGCAACCCTGAAAGCCACCGAGAACCTGCGTAACACGCGTGTCCGTCAGGCTGCGGATGTTATCAGCCTGCACCAGCGCACCAAAGAAGATGGCGCTGTCGGTGCTCAGCGTCTGGAAGTACAGGGGTGCCCTGCGACGCTCCACGTAGCTGTCGTCCAGGGACAAGCTGGTGAAATTGCGATTGAGCTCCAAGAAGACTGAGTGCCAGCTCCCGTCATTGACAGCGCGACTGGAGATGCCCAGGATCCCAGGGCCGCTGCCACAGTCCAGCTGAAACCACAGCTTGCCTTCCACAATCTGTACAATAAGAAATACAGAGCCCTCATGAGTCTGGATCCGAAATGGTGTGATCCCAGCTGGGATCATCCAGTCTGCCCTCCATTGTCTGCCAGGAAGACATAGGTCGGCCACTTCTCAGATCTTCCTGCTACCAATCCTAGGGATGACCAGGAAATGCACGGCGGTATTTAAAAAAGTTTCTATCGGTGGATCATGCCCCACCTCTCCTCCCTTTTAAGACCTACTGCGATATCTTGTTTGCACTCCTCTCTGTCACAGCACTAATTTCCATGGAATCGCCAACTTCCACGGGACACCCACCATGTGGTAAACAATGAGCAAAGGTGATCTGTTCTGCCCTTCTGGGGTTCACTAGTCCAGTTGGCAGGAGCGTGGTCACATGTTAACTGCACACACATATACTTACACTCCCCAAACAAGTTTGCAAAACTGTGATGTAGTGGAGAAAACAGGCCAGATAGAAGCAAGGGCTTCCTGGTACCCAGCTTGTGTGTAATTTGGATATTAAACACTGATATTATTCTTAAGCCCATCTTTTTCTATACTGTTCACTATATAGACAAGAGGCACTCCCAGAGTGCCCAAGCTTGGAGACTGTGTACAGCAGGAGTGTCCAGCCTTTTGTCCTCTTTGGGACACATTGTGTGAAGATCAATGTTCTTGGGCCACATATTAAATTCATGGGTTTCTAACAACTCATAACCCACCACACGGCTTGGAAAAGAATGCAAACATTTGTTCTGAATGGCACTGCGACATGATTTTGTCATCTATAAAAGTATGAAGTTCACAGTTTAGAACTGCACAATTGATTTACAAAGTAAAAATCACAGACAACCTGCGCGCTCGCACACACACACACACACAGACACACAGACACACAGACACACAGACACAGACACACACACACACAGAGCTCTGAAATATATGTGCTTGGATGGAAAGGTCTGAAAGTAAACGTTTATTTTCAGAGGGCTTTCACCTATAATCATATGCAATTGCCGTTTTTTTGCTGTTGTTTAGCAAAATAGACGGAATGGGTATTGTAAAGTACGGCAAATTTGCTTAGTGACAGTACATAGGTAATACCCACATCTGCATTGGAGTGTATGTAATAAAGTGATGGAACACGGCTTTGGAGACACCGTCTCCTGCTGCAGCCCATCTGCTGGTTTACCCCATGGCTACAAAACACTGTCCTCAATCAGTCCTGGAAAAATCTGCTGGTGAATGTGCAGTTCATGTAAGATTCTGTACAAGACTGTTTAATTAACGTATTATTTGATTTATGCTCCTCCCCCATCACTACCAATTGCCTCTGGGTAATAACCAGAAAGAATTGACATGAGCCAGATGCACCTGCACATGTAAAAATTCTGCCACTAAGGAACTAAAATTATCCCATGTGAGTACCGAGCACAGCTAAGTTTCTCCTCTCCTTCCCCTTCTCTTTGTATAAAGTAACATTGTATAAAGTAACCAGCAGCATTGCTAAGAGAAAGAAGCCAGGTGCCCACACCTCTCATCTCACCTTTTCCCAAAGAAGCATCACCAGCATCGACATGATTCTAAGCATTTTGAACCATTAGGTTGGTTGCTATGACATTCTAGAATATGGCTGCCCAAAGTTACCCTGTGAAAAGTTAATCGTAGGCATGTTATGCCAGGGAGATAAAACAACACTTCCTTCCTTTTGAAGTGTCTGAGTCATCTTCACACTGGAAAACTGTACTCTGGTAGTTAATTTTTGTCTGTCTACCAAGTTCTAAAGTATTTTTCTTTGCAAAGGCAACATGTTCTCAATCAGACTGGCATCGAGACACTGCAGTGGAGACTGACGTGTCTCTGGGCTGTGAGAAGTTTGTAGCCATGCTACTGAAATAGCTTCTTGGTCAGGAGAATGGGTGATTATTTTCAATGATATGCATAGTTCAGAGAAAGATATATACCCTTTTGTTATAAAATATCTACATCTTCAGAGTTGTATGAAATCAATTGTGTGCTTTGGTCAATTTTCAATGATTAGAGGATTAAGAGACAGGAAATTGGATCTATAAAAGTAGTTTTCATAGGAAAGTAGGAGTTTGAGTAGTATTATGAGCCACATTGCTTTGGACCGTCAGTGTATGGCTCAGTGTATTCTTAGTGTATCCCTAGTGTAGGGTTCAGTGTAGAATAGTCTAGCCAGAGGTCTGTGTTAGTTGGTTTTATTCTCACTGTCACCAGAATTTTTACAGAAACAGAGTAGAGGAGAATTTGGTCTTCAGCTCACACTTTTAGAGGGCCCTGTCCATCCTATCCAGGAGGATGTGGGGAGCAGGACAGCTCCCATCTTGGTGGCCAGGAAGCAGAAGAAATGTGGAGTTGGAACTCAGAGGCCCACATTTAAAGTGGTTACTTCTTGGCACATCATCTCTGGAACCCTCTCACAGCCATATCTAGATGTGTGTCTCGCCCATCCCCCAAGTACTTCTAAATCTAAGCAAGCTCTCAATTAAGACTGATTGATCATCACAAGGGTTATCAAACAGTCTCGGGAGAGGATACCCTTCAATATTGTATTTTCAAAGCCACTTAATGTTTATCTGACACGTGGGGTACCTTCAAGAATAAAATAATTGTATCAGGAAATACGTAAATGGGTAGATGTTCCAATCAGCCCCTGGACCTTTTCATAACTCCTGGAGAGCTTCTAACCTGCTCACCTGTCAAACATCCACTCACTGTCCAATAGTTATTGCTTACTAATGAAATCAACAAATGCCTCCATGTTTCAGTCTCCTCACAGGCAGACATGTGCACTCCTGCATTTAGGGAGGGGAGTGGAAATCAGAATAGATGTTATGTAAAAGCATCCCAAGAGATTCCATAGTCCACAGTTTGTAAGACCTGCCCACACAACTTAGGAACTTAACCTATCTTTTTTATTGGTTCTGGGATATCAAGCCATGTCTGAGAATCATCTGACTAAAGGACTCAGTGACATGTCACTTTCCTCAATATTTCTTATATTTAGGAATATTTCTAGATTAGCATCCAAGGTTTCTGTCTGCTTTCCAGTTGGTGTCAAAAAGTCTGACAAGAAACCCCTTGAACTGCTGTGATTTCTCCTCATGTCTGCTCTGGAAATCTGACACTTTGTTTTTAATAGGCTTAAAGGGGCACAGCCCCTTCTATTACGGCTTTGTTGCAAGGAAAATCAGAACTGAGTTTCTGCTCAACTAATATAGTTTCTCTGGTTTTTCAAAATCATGCTATTTTACTTTTTTTTTGCTTCATTAATTGCATCATAACCTTTTATTTTCATGTCAATGGTACTTTACTTTTTATTGAATTTGTGTGTTTATGCTAAGTCTCAAATCTCTTTTAGAAGTCAAGGCAGTAAGTGGGAGATGGAAAGGCAAGCGCTTTTTAGTGTAGCCAGAATACAGTGACACTTCAGTCCATGAAGGTTTTGTTTTTTTTCTGACCACCATGCTACTCTTTAGCAGTTGCAGGGAATGCCCTCTGCCCCATGATTGTCTTAAATACGTGTTTACGGAACACACTCTGCCTGGGAAAATCCAGGCCATGTGGAGGGGCAGTTTAATCCAAGCATTTCAGTTTAGTGGCTGAAGCAAAGCACAGGCACACAGCTACCTAAGGCCCGTGAGATGAAACCTTGTAACAGGCTGTGCTCAACAAGCCCCCTACGAGGAAGCTACTGGCAACATAGATGGATATCTACCACCGTCCGGTAGGGCTGCCACCTGCTCTGGGCAAAGCCAACATGAGAGAGATACCAGACAGGGGCCAGTGAGGGTCCACTACCCCCAAAGCTTTCACAGAGGGTCCCTTCAAATGGCAACCAGGTTTGTTTATTGGAATTCATTTTAAAAGTATTCAGTTTCCAACTTCAGAAACATATTTGTTATTTCATAAGTGCTGTATGCTTGCATGGTGAGTGTTACCTCAGAGGTTTATTTTTCTTTTCTGTCCCTAGAGACGTGCCAGGGATGGGAAGATGACAAGCTTCATTTTAGGATCAAGCCATCCTTATCTGATATTTCTGTTCCCTCTCAACTTCAGTGCTGTATAGAGATTATTTAACAGAAAGTATTGGTGTTACAGTAACCTGTTAGAGCTTGAAAGAGGAGACAGAAGGCCAGAGACAATGGTCAGTTTTCACTTGACAGGCTCTGAAGACTTCCAAGGAGCCTGAGCAACTATAGACTGAAATAACAGTGCCCTGAACACAGGTCAGGGGAGGCGTATTTCTCCCATTCTCTCATACCCAAAGCTGGATGTGGCTTTCTCCATTCCCGAGACCAGAAAGCTGGGTCTGGTCTATACATGCACAGGATGGGATCTGAGATAAAATAAACTGGAGTGTGAAGAAGAAGAACTGAGGAGAGCTTGGAGGTGAGGATCACAGAGTGAGACACGCTATAGTAGGGATCTGGCCTTAGCCCTTGGTAGCTAAGCAACTTTGGGTGAATATGTAAAACCCTTTGGATTGTTCTTGATCAAGTAAATGGGGATAAGACATCCATAGAAAATTTGTATTAAATTTAAAATTAGAAAGATGCAGCTACATCTGTTAGTATTCTTAGTGTAGTCACGAAGGCACTAGGCGTCTCAAGCTGCATACAAATGCCAGATTTATTTTGAAGGAAATCTGGCTGCTTTAGGAGGACTTCTGAGGTCAGGAAATGATTTAAAAACTGAGATACTTGAGTCATGAAAGGATATGTGAAATATTTGTGCCTAAGATCTCCTACTTGGTCCCCAAGTAACAGTGTAGCTGTCCAGAGAGTGTGGCGAGAACACGGTGAATAAGGATGGAACCAACCTGTTAAAGGATTAGCTTTGTCATGAGATTGATTGAGACATCTGTCCTAATGCCCTGTGGAGTGACTGGAATACAAAGGAGGTGAACATTCAAGCACTTTCTATAGGGAGATCTCTAACCTCTACCAGCCAGTTTTGAAATACTAAATACTACTAAATACTCAAACAAAGTAGAACGCTGGCACACTTTTCAACCCCATGGTTCTCTCTTTTATCCTGAAGTCTGTTCTGGTCTTATAAACTCACAAGACAATAATTTTAGTTTCTCCTAATATAACAGTCAGCGTAGTCAATTAAGGAATGACTGTGGGCAGGATATAGTGGCTCATGCCCATAACCTCAGCACTGAGATGCAGGGTTGTTTTGAGTTTGAAGTTGCCCTAGGCTTCAAGATAAGACTCTCTCAACAACAACGACAAATAACGACAAAAGAAGAAAGCAGCCCATTTTACAAACCTTCAGAATCATGCAGGGGTTGGCCCGAGTGTACATTATGATCCCATTGCTTTGCAGGGTTCTCAGGCGCAGAGCTAGCTTGAAGTCCTCCTCTTTGCTATTTTCAGAAAGCCGATACTTGATGTAACTATTCCCAGCAAAGCTGAGAGAAGTGTGCCCTGAAAAGACACAATAGCACACATTTTCTTTAAACATCCAGAAATGGTCAGGGCCCCATGAAGCCACCCACACATCAGGAAAGCTGATCATAGAGCACAGCAGTTACAGATGGAACCCAGGGATCTTGCCAGATTACAGTTTTGCATCCTTAAATATTAGCCAATTAGCAGCCAAAAATATCCCACTATGGTAAATTCCATAATGTGGATTTTCTTAGTATTATTAATGAGATTCTTAACTGCCTCTTTCCAAATTTACTATTATTAAAAGATATCCTTTGGCTGGGCAGTGGTGGCACACGCCTTTAATCCCAGCACTTGGGAGGCAGAGGCAGACGGATTTCTGGGTTCGAAGCCAGCCTGGTCTACAGAGTGAGTTCCAGGACAGCCAGGGCTACACATAGAAACCCTATCTCGAAAAAACAAACAAACAAAACAAAAGATATCCTTTGATTTCTTCCAAACCATTGCTATCTCTCTAGAGCTTTGCTAGGTCAGGTGGTACATGCCAGTAATCCCAGAAACTGCCAGCAATATGCCAGTAATCCCGGTAGCAAGAGACTGCTGCAGAAAGCTCTCAAGTCAAAGTCTCCCTAGACTATAGAGTGAGTTCATTGTCAACCTGGATGGCTTATTCTCGAAACGAAAAACCAAAGTAAAGCTGTAACTAAATGGTGGAGTGTTTGTCTTTCACGAGGTCTTAAGTCAATCCCTCATAATAAAAAAAAAAAAAAATTAAAAAGAGTAATTTTCAGTCCCATAAAGCAAGGAAAACTCAGTCAAGCCATTTTCATGGAATACTTTTATTCATTCTAACGCTAATACCAAACAGCCAACTGGTGTCAGGGGTTAAAGAAGGAAGCCTCGTGCTGTCCCAATACTGATTGTCAATCATTAACTATGAGACTTCCATTCTTAGACTCTCTTCTCCTTGTGTCTGTGTCTGTGTCTGTGTCTGTGTCTGTGTCTGTGTCTGTGTCTGTGTCTGTGTCTGTGTCTGTGTCTGTGTCT